CGGGCATGGGGGCCGGCTAGGAACGGGCGTGGGGGCCAGCTATTGACGGGCGTGGGGGCCGGCTAGGAACGGGCGCGGGGCCGACTAGGGGCGGGCGCGGAGCCGACTAGGGACGGGCCGGGGGTCGACTAGGGACGGGCGCGGGGCCAGCAAGGAAAGGGCGCGGGGCCGACTAAGGGCGGGCGCGGGGGCCGGCTAGGAACGGGCGCGGGGGCCAGCTAGGAACGGGCGCGGGGGCCGGCTAGGAACGGGCGCGGGGCCGACTAGGGGCGGGCGCGGAGCCGACTAGGGACGGGCGCGGAAGCCATCTAGGAACGGGCGCGGGGGCCGACTAGGGACGGGCACGGGGCCGGCTAGGAAAGGGCGCGGAGCCGACGAGGGGCGGGCGTGGGGCCGGCTAGGGACGGGCGCGTGGGCCGGCTAGGAACGGGCGCGGAGGCCGGCTTGGAACGGGCGCGGGGGGGGGGGGGGGGGGGGGAGGGGGGCGGCTAGGAACGGCTAGGACCTAGGGCAGAAGCGCTGTTGGGCGGGCTGGACCTAACCTACTCATGATACCATGTTAGAATGAGAGAATGACTAGAATGCATATGTACAAGGGTATATGACCTAGGAGTTGTACCCTCTAAGGCACAAACCTATACAGTCTACACAAACATAATGATATATGTTTGACACCAACCACCGAACCAAAGCAAATCCTCTCCCACCGAATCCGTCGAGACCAAGGTCAACAGGTTTTGGAATTTCTGGTTCAATGGGTTGACCGTACTTGCGACGACGACATGTGGGTCCCAGCTGCTAACCTCAACAACCACCCATTGGTGCAGGCCTATTTACACGATATGGCTGCCCCAAATATGGGTAGTCTCGTCTAGGAGGGGGGGAGGTGTAACGAAAATTCCTTTTCCTTATCGAGCCTCGCTAACATCGAGTACAGCCCTGACTTTCGGAAGTCCAGGCTCGGCCCGAAAATTCAGATTCGAACTACGTTCGAGACCCCAAGCTTGCACGCGGCGTCGCGTCCGACACTTTCGAGTCCCGAGGCGCCCCGAACCACCTCGCGTGTGTTTCGTGGCCTTCCCCGAGGCTCTCTTGCTAGGCTAGCTGTCGTTGTATTTAGCCATGTGCTTCATTTGTACTTGACACAATTTAATCACGACCTCACTATTGCATTACTCGACTACTATCAGGAGATTATCATAACATGCATGGAGCAATGGAGTAGTAATATTAGAGTTTTATGCACCCACGACTACAATAAGAATGGTATAGCTTGGAATGAAAGCGAGAAAATGGATCATAACACACCCATGTGACCCGGCATATGAGCGCGGTAACGCAGCTCATATGAACGTGGTAAGTATTGTCCAAGAACCTTGTTTTAGTGGTGTATGCTTTTAGAAGCATAAGGAAAAGTCATTCTCTTACATAATGTCATTTTGTAGATTCATGTGTACTATTTCCTTCTCGCTGAAGTGCGCACTCGGAACAGTATCCTTTGTGACCTCATCGAAGGGCTTGCTCGATCAATCAGGGCTGTCCACCGCGTTCATTTTGCCCCAACCTGCTGAAATATTGATTCGCCAAGTGAGAATGTGTTGAGGTACACCTACAGTCTCAACAGCAAAACGCTAGGACACGAGCAAACACGAGCCCCGCCCGTGGCTTGACAAATGAGCGGGTGCACAGCACGCACATAATAGACTGACACGCGAAAACAGAAGGGTAACCGAGTTTCGCCCCGGGAAAGAGTCCCGTTGAGTCGCGCATGCAACTCCAATTCTTCTTCCGTTCGTTTCGCCGTGCTTCGCAACCGTCACGAATACCTTGCGAATGTAAGCGTTCTATTTTTCGCTAGCCAGGCTTTGGACGTTTTTGCCGTGTACATAATTTGCGCACGATTTTCATGCGCAGCTTGTCGAGCCCGGTAACAAGGTTCGGTTGCGTGACATCTATGAGTTACAAAACCCAGGAAACACGCCCTGACCCCATCTACCCACCTGAGTCCTCGCCTGACCTGCTCAGCCATTCTCCTCGCCTCCCATTTCGTGGCTCCCCTCCCCATTTCATGGTGTTGTACGCGCCATTTCGAAGGTCCTTCCCCCTCCCCTCCCCTCCCCGCCATAACGTGCACTCCAAGGGAAATTCTCACAGCGAGATGCTCGAGACTGCCCCAAGCAGCACACCGCAGATGGCGAATTCCAGTATTGCAGGCGAAGATTTCCCCAGATTAGACTCGATCGCTCAGATTACCGAGCATATATATTTGGAGCTCGAAACGTTGCTTGAATTCAATTGCCACGCGGTCGTGTTCAACCGTTTGAACAAACAATTCCGATTGGGTAGTTCGGACTTCAGGCGTTTCGAACCCTAAAGCGCCAGTTCATCGCTCCGCCGTCGAAAAGGTCACGAGGTCGCCAAGCCATGGGCAATCGCTTCAGCCGCAGCCGTGTGAAGTCGCTAGGTCGCACGTCGCCAAGTCGCCATATCATTGGCATTCGCTACGGCCGCAGGCGCAACGACGCGCCTGCGAAAGCGAATAAGTCAGCCGGTGAGTTCTAGGGGAGGGCTTCGATATAAGATATATTATTCAGTTGGCGAAAATTATTTTTTTTTCCCCCATTGTTCAGTTAGCGAAAGGAGTTTTTACAGTTTTTTCGGTCAACCCTCCTCCCTCGCCCCCGTCACACCGTGCGATACAATTGGTCACAGAATATGCACAAAGTGCATTCAATGAGTTATGGGCACATCGCACACTGTACGCGATACAAGCACACCCCCGGTCCTTGCTCAAGCTCCTCTCATACTGCTGCGACAATCCCGATGATTCCGGCTTTGAAAGCCTCACCTACCATACCCCCCTATTTCCCACCTCCCACACCTTCCCCATCCCCCCTCCCCCCCACCGGATCTCCCCCCCCCACCCCCCCCCCCCCACACAAATCGCGCCGCGTCTCAAGATTCTGTAGCAAGCCCACCTTCATCCCAAAGTCGTTTTCCGGGTGGGGGCGTACCGAGCAAAGGCGAATCCCCGGCTGCCAACCCGATGTACCGGGTGAACAGCGAGCCCATTCCAGGGTCTGCCCCCGATTGGACGCCTAGCCAGCCGAAAACCCTTCCGTGCGGCCTCTTGGCGGGTCCCCGGCATGCGCTTATACGGGCTGTTCTACGGCCGTAGTATATGGTAGTACACCTTCCGTGACCACCATTCCACATCGGCCGTCTGGCCCTTCAAGCTCCCCTCCGCCTGCCCATTCCCCCTGCGCCGGAACCACATCAGCCAGTCAACCCCTTGCACCTCCCTCCTCCTTTCCTCCTCCTCCCTCCGCCGCCTATGTCCCCCGTACCTCCAGCGCCGCCATTTACTATGACCCTTCGGCAGACTATTACGAGACCGTGACATTCGAATGCATGCCTCGCGCCGTGCAATCTGCGCCAGCACCAGCGCCAGCGCCAGTGGCGGAGCCACCTCCGGTTCTAAACCCGGCGCCCCTTCCCCCAGCCCTTCCCCCCACTTGGTTCCCCAACGGCTTCGGGGGGGAACAAGCGCCCTTTCCCGAAATAACACTGGCGCATATGGGACCGCTTTCCCCAATCCCTTCCGCTGCTTCTCCGCGCGTCTCCGCTGGTCACTCTGCCGGTCGCTCTGCAGGCGGCGGCGGCGGCCCCTCGGGTTCCGCTTTCACCTTACCCGCCGGGGCTTCCTCCGCCTCCGCGCTCCCTGTGTTGCGCGAGTTCACCTCCGCGGAGATCAAGGCTGCAACGGGGGGGTATAAGCGCGTGGTAGGGAAGGGGGGGTTCGGACAGGTGTATTATGGGCGGATGGTGCTGCCTGCTGGCGGAAGCAGCAGCGCTACAGGCGGGGGGATGAGGGAGTGTGAAGTGGCGGTGAAAGTGATGAAAGGGAAGGATGTTGCGCAAGACCTCACGAGCTTCAATGTGAGTCTCTGTCTTACACCTGGGTGTTGATGTGCCGAAAATCTAACAATGTTACACAGAACTCAACAAATTTGCACGTGTACCAACGTGAATGCATTCTTTTACCCCCTTGCTTGCATATAGATTCCCTCTGCTCCCATCTGCTCCGTGATTTCAGGCTGAGGTGGCAGCCATGTCAGCCGTCAATCACCCCAACATCTTGCGACTGCACGGCAAGGCCATGGACCCATCCCAGGGCCTCATTCTCGTGTATGAGTTTATTCCCCGAGGCGACATCAAGATCTTTCTGACAAGAGGTGAGGGAAATCCCCGTAGCCCCACTCCCCTCTCCGCCCTCTTTCTCACTCACATGAAAAGAGAAGTTCGCTCTCCTCCTCTCGCTCCTCATAGCAAGCATGTGCCTGCACGTGTCTGCATGTGCCTGCATGTGTCTGCATGCTGCTGCATGTGCCTGCACGTGCCTGCATGTGCCTGCACGTGCCTGCATGTGCCTGCATGTGCCTGCACGGTGCCTGCACGTGCCTACATGTGCCTGCACGTGCCTGCATGTGCCTGCGTGTGCCTGCACTTGCCTGCATGTGGTTGCATGTGCCTGCACGTGCCTGCCTGTGCCTGCATCTGCCTGCACCTGCCTGCATGTGCCTGCATGTCCGCGTAATGATAGTCGAGAGGCAGCAAATGCCTTTCCTTCTCACTTGTCAGCTGCTGTCAGCCTTGAATTCGTGAAGTCCCTCCCTCCATCCCCCTACTGCCCCTGCATGTGCCTGCATGTTCCCGCATGTGCCTGCATGTGCCTGCATGTACCTTCATGTGCCTGCATGTGCCTGCATGTGCCTGTGCCTGCATGTGCCTGCACGTGCCTGCATTTGCCTGCATGTTCCTGCACGTGCCTGCATGTGCCTGCATGTGCGCGTAATGACAGTCGAAAGGCAGCAAATGCCTTTCCTTATCACTTGTCATGCCACCTGCTCTCAGCCTTGCTTTTCTCCCGTGTTATCTCAAATAGTGAAGTCCCTCCCTCCATCCCCCCTTCCCCTACCCCACTTCTACCCCCAACACAGCCCGCCAGGGCGAGGTGCACTTCCCTCACAACAACCCCCTCATCCCTCTCCCCTTCCTCCCCCCCCTCCCCCCTACTCCCAAATCCAGTCCGCCTAGGAGAGGTGCACTTCCCCTGGAGGGATCGTATGAGGGTGGCAGTGGGGTGTGCCGAGGCGCTAGCTGCCATTCACGCGCACAAGTTCATTCACCGTGACTTCAAGTCGGCAAATGTGCTTCTGCGCGAGGTATGGTACAAGCCTGCTTCCCTTCTTTTGCTACATTGCGGTTGGTTTTTTAGCATTAAAATAAAAATAAAAATTGCAGCTCCATGGATGTGCTGTATTTGTTTTCTATTCACTGGTGGTCGTCCGGTGCCTATTCCGTCTCATATGGTTTCCATGTCCCTTCTCTTCCGTCTTTATCTGGTAACCGCAGGATCTCACTCCAGTGATGGCTGACTTTGGTGTGGCTCGCATCATAGAGGACTAGAAAACGCACGTTACAACAGATGTGGTCGGATCGGCTGGCTACATCGATCCAGTCTATTTCCAGAATGGCCAATTAAGCCAGAAATCTGACACCTACGCATTCGGCGTCTTCCTGTTAGAGCTCATTTCGGGTTTTCCGCCGATCAGTGACCGTTTCCGACAGCTGAGGCACTTGATCACACTAGGGGATTACAGTAGGCCCTCCTTGGTGGTTGATCCTTTTCTAGAGGGGGAGTGGGCAGGAAAGCATGCTCAGATGGCCTTCATCCTGGCGCGCTTTGCCATTTCGACCACCTGGGAGGAACGGCCTGCAATGTCAGATATGGCAGATACGACCAGCTGTGTTGGCACCGGAGGCCAAGTGTACTACGCGGGCCTGGCGACGCTGCTGAAGCTCGCGCAGGAGGAAGTACCGCAGCTGGATATGCTTCACTCTGCCCTCAAGTCGAGGCTCCTAATAGTAGCGCGAAAGAGGAACCAGAAAACATTGTGAAAGGTGGGGAGTGCGGGCTTGAACACTCACAGAAGCGTGGGGTGGGGTGGCAATTCGCCAAGTGGCAAGTTTCCGTCCAATCGAGACGAAGGCAACAAGTTTCTCACTGTGTTGAATCTGGAGACAGAATCCAAACCGTCGATCAATACTGTGACAAATCGGATCGCCTCCAATATGTTTCCCAAGGGGTTTCCCGTCAAATCAAATGCTCACTTGAACGAATCAGATTCCAACATGTCGCGACTGCTTGATTTTTTCGCACAAAGGAGTGAGAATGGGCCTGAGTAGTCGACAATGAGTCAGGAATGTAAACGAGTAACAAAACTACATGAACAAATTGAATTATATAGGTGTGTACAAGATATCAGCTGGTAATTTATTTTCAGGTTTCCTGATAAGACTCACCCCCTTTTTATCTACTAAACGAAACAAGACCCTAGGGTCATATATCCGGGCGTTTACGGTAGTATGGTTTGAGCCGTAGTCCATGTGCCATTTTGAAATATGGTGATGTTTAACTCGATTAGAGAAGAACGAGTGTTAATTTCCGCACATGAACCCTTTTTAGTTGTGATGCATCCATTATCGAGAGAACTGCCTTGCTAGCGTCACCTGTCACACGCAAGCTTCGAGTTCCCTTCCGTGTTTCCACGTCTGCCAAGGCTGAACTCGCGTGGCCGAGCCGTCGTGCTCGTCCGTGGTTGGAGCATGTGGAACGGCGACGTGTGAGGCGAGCTCGTGGTTGCCCAGTGCCTCTAAGTGTACGAGAAACACGTGGAATTGCCCCCGATTGGATAAGGCCGTGCAGCCAATTTCCAAGGGCCATCACTCGCTCTTCGCTGCTGTGCCGACGTGCTGCCTCGTCAGTATGAAATGCCTCCAGCCAGGATTGCAAATCGGTCCGTTCAAAACCTTTCAAATGTGGGCCCAGGCCTCATCTGTCCGTCCTTTCAGATAGCCAGTCGCAGCCCCCCCAATGCTCACTATTGCAATGCGAAGTCTCTGTCACACACTCCTGCTGCTGTCGTCAGTCTCGACACATTCCAACTCAGCAACGGAAAATCTCTCACTTGCGGCTAGCATTCCCGCAGCATCCACCGCCTCCTGTCATCAGTCCACCAATTCCCCTCCCACCGCATCGCTATTGCGGTTCACTTCCTGTCATTTCCTCCATCTCTCCATCCCATGTCAGTGCCACCGCACCATGCCGTACCGGAACAGCCTAAAACCGTATGAATGTTTCTAAACCCACTTCTACCATCTCAGCCATTTCAGCTCATCGCCCCTCCCCCCCACTCCTCTCGTCACGGCTCACCCATCACATCAAAATTCATGATTCACAAGTTGCGGATGATCCCCCCGCGCACCCCCCCACCCGTCCAAACCCAACGTCCTCCACCATCCACAGCTCGACGCAGCAAGCTTGCTCCATTAGGCTTCGCGTCGCGCGTCGCAGTGCATGGCATTTTCGACGCCTTTGCATCCTGCTCGTCGGTACATTTTGCCATTTTGCACACCTATTGCTCCAGTTCTCTCGTCACATCATCCCCTCACCGCCGATTGTCCGCTCTGCTGAGCTTTCTCTCTTGCCCTTTCGTGCTCATCTCCAGCGAGTCTCCTCAGGCAGCTATTTTCCGCTGTGCTAAAGCGAGAGGGATGCACAGCAGCTTGCTCTCCAGCCAACAGGGTAACGCGAGCCCTGCGGCTGACATCCGAGCCGTAGAAACCCCCGCTGGGTCCAACCGAAGCGTCCCAGCTCGGTCGTTAGAAACCTCCGTCGGTCTTCACAGACGCGTGTCTCACGCCGCTTCCCGTGGCAGTAGGACTGGCGACGGGAACCATTATAGGGCGGATGCGGATGATAGTGTTTCGTCAAAGTACGGTATCGAGGAGGATAATGACGAGGATGGCGAGGACGACGAGGGCGACGACGGAGCAACCGAGAACCTTCCGATATCGCTCGTCATAGCGGCTCTATTTCTAGACACTAAGGGGCAGTCAAGAACGCTGATTAAGAAGCTCTGCTCTTTTGATTCTTTCGCCATCGGAGGGAGATTTTTTGCTTTGCCCGGCGTAACGCATACCGCATCCTTCGTGAGACTGGGGATCGGCTGGCTACAGACGCACCTTAACGTGCCTGTAATGAGTCACGCGGATGCTTATACCGGCCACTCTTTCAGCGCGGATGCGCTCGCCAAGGGCGATTGCTGGAGGAAGGCGCCGTGCGGGTCGTGCAGCGTGTCGATACCCAAGGAGCACGAGCACGGAAACGACGACCACTATCTGTCTCGCCGCGTTGGATCGAGCAAGCAGGTATTTGAGTGTCACCCGTTTCATCAAGGCACTGTTTGCCAAGCGCATCATGCGCCTCCTCCCTTCCTCCCCTTCCCCCTTGCCGTTTTTTTTTGCACATTTTTTTCGCATTTCGGTTTGGTTGGACATAGTCGAGTCCATCTTTCTATCGTTGCCTACACCAATCGTTTCGCGACGTCGCCGCTCGTAGCCTTCCTTTTCTCTCAGGGTGACCCTGTACTCCCACCGTTATAATCACGTCGCAGGTCCTGCCGCTCGTGGGCTTCGGAGCCATTGCCATCCTCGTGCTGCTCGTCCGCGGCGGCATGCCATCGCGAACCGCCCACCACCGCATCTTTCCGTTCCCCAAGATCTCTGCTACCACTGCGCTCGCCCAATCAACGACTGCCGCGTGGCTCGATCTCACCGCCCTCTTCTTCCTCTTTTTCGGGACTGCCGCGTTGACGCGATTTTCCATCATCCACCTGATTCGGCGGCATCCGCATCTGAGCCTCCCCCTCGCGGCGCTGCTTTCCGCCGATCGCCGCAGCGGACGGGGGTGCGCGGGGGGATCATCCGCGTTCATGCGCGACCTGTGCGGAAAAGCCGCTAAGATGGGGCTCGGCGGAGGCTTCTGGCGCGCGAAGTGGTGGCAGGCGCAGCTATCGCCTTCCCCACGCGGGAGGCGCAGCTCCGCGCAGCTGGGGGAGTGGACTTCCGCCACCTCCGCGGATTTTCTGCGCTATTTGCGACCCAGCGGCACTGGCAAGAATTTATCGAAGTCGGAAGATACTGTAGACGAGATATGCCTTACCGTGAGGCGGTACACTAACGGGGATAGATACGAAGGGGAGACATCCGACGGTGTAGCATCCGGAAGCGGAGTGTACTATTTCGACGAAGCTGCGGGGAAATACGAGGGCGAATGGGCGGACGGAAAATACAGCGGATTGGGTGTAGAATCCTGGGAGAGCGGGAGCGTGTATCGAGGCGGGTACAAACGGGGATACCGGGAGGGGCGCGGGCTGTACCAGTTCCACACGGGGGACGCGTACGCGGGGGCGTGGGCGCGCGGGCAGAGCCACGGCGCGGGGATGCAGATGTGCAGCGACGGCAGCACGTACACGGGGCAGTTCTCCTATGGGCTCAAGCACGGCTTCGGGAAATACACTTTCAGGTATTTGAAGGCGTTCTGGGGTGCTCTAAACGTGTGGCGACAATGGGGCTTTGTGGTGTTATAAGTGATAGGGCTGTGTGAATGAGTAGTGTTTGTTGAGTTGGCAACTCGTTGAGTTGTGGAAGTCTCGTTGCTTGTGGGCCAACCCCTTCTCGCATGACAAGGCCCCTTTTCGCTTGGGGGGCTTGTCATGCATGTGTGTTTGTGTGCGAAAGTCACTGGGTCGAGTTGCTCTGCGCATCTAGCTTCTGGCCTTCGCAGGGCTCCCAGATGAACTGGTAACCACCACTTGTCAGACGAGTCAGTCTGAGGGTGACAGAGGAAACATTCACCATTGGCTTTCCCTCCCCTCGCCATGCATACTCGTCTGCAAGCCGCGGAAACAACGTCGTCTCTTGTGGTACCCCCCCCCCCCCCCTCCTCGTGCCACGTGCCCTGGTAGCCGTCCTTGGCTCCCTTCTCCTGAGTTTACTCCTCCTTCCTCCCTCCCCCCTCGCCATCTCCCAGGAATGGCGACACATATGCGGGTGAATACTTCCGAGATGCCATGCACGGCTACGGAGTGTACACGTTCAGCAACGGGCACCGGTACGAGGGCGCGTGGCACGACGGGTGCAAGCAGGGCCTGGGGCGCTACACCTTCTGCAGTGGGGACTCCCTCATGGGGCACTGGCACCTGGGGGCGCTGCTCACCCGCTGCCACACAACCGCCCACACAACCGCCCAGACGACAGCTTCTGCTACTTCTGCTTCTGCTTATACCTTTGACTCGATTGCTGCTTCTGGCGATGGAGGTGGCTCCTTCGCTGATGGCTTGGCTGGGGATGGTATCCCATTACCGTCCAGCCCATCGTCCCTGTCGTATTTTTCAGCAGCAGCGTCGCCAGTGACATCACCTTCAGCAGTGGCATCGACATCACCTTCAGCAGTGGCATCGCCATCAGCCATGATATCGCCATCAGTGCTAGCATCGCCATGGGGCCCCGCGTGCCAGTCTCAAGCCAGTGGCCGCCCTTCAGTGGACCCAGCTAAAGTGCAAGCAGCTGTAGAGGTGAGCGTGGGACATTGCAGATCAAGCACCTTTTTCCCCTGGGTTATTTCCTTGTCCAGCCGCTCAAGCCGAGGAAGTTGAACCGTCAGTGGACGCGCTTTCTAGTCATCATTATTCTGTGCACACTGTTCATTGCGCATCCTTTTGCACACTTTGCCGTAATATGTTCTCTGTGCGTCCTTGCACACTCTTCATTTTTGTCCTGGTTTCAATTGCATGCAGGCTGCACAGATTGCGGAGAAGAGAGCAGAGGCACTGTCGGACTCAGATGAGAGTTTATCCGAAGTGGTGGCTGCAGCCAACCAAGCAGCTGCCACTGCCAGGCAGGTGGCGGCTGAAGCACGGGCTGTGGGGCCTCAGCCTGAAACCAAGAATGACTTGCAAAGCAAGTCAAAATTCATGCTTTGATCGAGCAATTTCCAGAAGTTCCTGCCTTTTTTTTGTTTGCAAATTTCTTCTGCCTGCAAGATGCAGACGGGCAGAGGAGCATGCCTTCATTTGTTGGTAGTTTTTGTATATAATTCAGAAGGGCATGGCTCTGAACCATACCATGAAGTATTGATTTGTTTGACAATAGCTCTCAAATATACATTGCATGAGCGTGGGGGGATAGAGAGGGAAACTACATGTAACTGGGTCGTGGTGTGCAAAGCCACAATATACATATTGGAAGTTGCGAACTCTAATTTCAATTAGAGGCAAAATTCACTTGGCCTTGAATGGAAACTCTATGTTTTTTCATTCAACGCCGCACTGTATCGTCGCCTCACCAATGATTGATTTCTTGAATTTGTCTTCTGGCTCAAGCCACGCCATTCACTCCTAGCAGCAGCAGTCTTGGCTCTCCCCTGGGAACTTTTTCATGCCCATGGCTGCTTGGATTTGACCGAGCAGACCGACCGACCAGTGCATCCACGAGACGAGGGAAACATCAGCCTTTCGCCTGATTTATCTCCTCGCTACAGCTGCGTTGTGGTTCTGGGCTTGGGATAGCTTGAGAGCGCGATTCTTTTTCGTCAGTCCGTTACGCTCTGGCAGCCACCCTTTTCGTCGAGAATTGACGGATTCTGATTGCCGTGCCTACTTCCGTCAGGCTACCGTCAAATCGTGAGCATTTGCTCCAATCGCCACTCATGAAGCTCGCTGACGGCATGGCAGCGCTGGTCACGGGAGCAGGCTCGGGAATCGGTACGCAGAGCTGAATACTCCCCAGGATGCCTGCGAATAATTCGGTTGTTTTTTTTCAGCGTACGGATATGCGAAGCAGTCCGTACAATCGGTGTGCTAGAATAGCCGCGACGCGACATGGCTTACTTGAAATTCATTGGTTGAAGTCAAGGCATTGTGAGGAAATCCCTAAAAAATTATTACATGCTGCGGATTTTGTTTTATTTTATTTTATTTCCCTCATCTCCTTCGTCTTCTTCCCAGGACGAGCGGCCTCGCAGTTCCTGGCATCCGAAGGCCTGCGGGTGACCGTTGTCGACTTCTCCGAGGCAGGCGGGGTGGAAACGGTGAGGCTCATTCGCGAGCAGACGGGCAAGCAGGATGCTGCAAGATTCGTCCAGTGTGACGTCAGCAAGCCCTGTAAGAAAATTGTTGGCGCAGCTGGGTTTCTGAGAGGCACGCGGGGTGGAAATGGTGCGGCTCATCCGAGAGCAGACGGGGAAGCAGGCAGGCAGGATGCTGCAATATTCGTCCACGTCCAGTGTGACGTCAGCAAGCCTGGTAAGAATTTAAGAAATGGTGGGACTGGTGTGGCCTCTGTTGTCGCCTGATCAATGCGACCATAGGGGGAAGGGACTGGTTCCTTTTGTTTTTCCTTCGTTATAACAGCATTTCCACTTTCCACTTCTTCCCTGTAATGTTCCTCCCTCCTCACTCTCTCCAGCTGACCTGGCCTGTGCATTCGCCTCTCACATGAGCTGGTGTGGCTGCCTGGACGGCTGCCTCAACAACGCGGCCATAGGGAAGATCGGCTGATTTCTCGTTGCGTTTCTGCCCTTGGACTTTTCTTCCCCTCTCCACTGCTTCCTTATCCATCGCCCTTATGTGCAGCGGAGTTAGCCCGTGCATTCGCCTCTCACATGCAATGGTGTGGGCGCCTGGATGGACGTCTGTATCAACAATGCAGGCATTTGGGAGAGGGGCTGGTGCCTGTATGAATGGACTTTCCCACGTGTTTGTCCCTTCGCCTCCCTCTCCCTGCAGCCGACCTGGATCGTGCGTTCGCTTCTCATGCAATGGTGCGGCCGTCTTGACGTCTGCCTCAGCAATGCGGGCATAGGGGAGAGAGGGGCTGGTTCCTCTCTTTTAGTTTCCCTTTGAATTTCCACTTCTCTTGTTCCTCGCTCTCCCTGCAGCTGATCTGGCCCGTGCATTCGCCGCTCACATGCAGTGGTGCGGCCGCCTGGATGTCTGTCTCAACAATGCCGGCATCGGGGAGAGGGACTGGTTCCTCAAGGACGCGTCAGCAGACGGCAAGGGCTCCTGGCGCCACGTGCTGGACGTGAATTTGAGGGCCGTCATCGACGGCACACGACTCGCGGTATGCTGTCGTTTATGCCGTCTTGTATCACACTCGTGGATGTTCTCTTATTGATGCCAAGAGCTCCTGGCGCCACGTGCTGGACGTCAACCTGAGGGCCTGAGGGCCGTCATTGATGCCACTCGCCTTGCCAGTGGTCGTTGTGTGTGTGCGTGTCTTGCACATTTAACGCTCGCCTGTGCGCTGGTCGCACCTGCCCTATTTTTGCACGCATCTGAATGGTCTCTTATGGGCGGCAGCAAGGGCTTCTGTCACCATGATGATCATTGTCCCTTCTCCTTCCTCCTTCCTCCTCTCCCCTTTCTCTTGCTCCTTTCTTCTTTCTCCATTCTCCCTGACCCCTCCCAGGTACACGCGATGCAGTCTGGAAAAAGCGCCAAGGGTAGCAGCAGAGGGGTGATAATCAACGTGGCATCCGCAGCAGGGCTGTATCCCTCCCCCAACGGACCCATCTATGCAGCTTCTAAAGGTGAGACTTGCTGCTCCTTGCTCTTGCTTTTCACTCGACTCAAAAGTTGCTTCTCCTTACTCTTCCTTGTCACTGTGTTGCACCCCCCCCCTTCCCCTCCCCCCCCTCCCTCCCCTCTGCTGATGCTTTCTTGCTTCGAACCTGCGAGTCTGAGGAAGCGTTGCTGTCGTTGTGCTCGTGTCATATACAGATGCCCTCCTGCTGCATCTTGGTGTTTCTTGTCTCGGTGTCAGTTGCGTCATGCCACTGCCACACAACTCGACTCTGTGTTTTGTTTTTTCCTTCTCATGGTCCGTGACTGTTCATGATGTGACTGTGCGTGATGTTTTTGTACGTGATCTGCCTGTTAACAACGTGACTATACGGAGCGCAGCTGGAGTGGTCATGTTCACACGCTCATTGGCTCATCTCGCTGGCAGTGGCATTCGCATCAACGCCCTCTGCCCTGAGGTATGCGTTACTCTGCCCAGATGCCATGCCGTGTCGTGCCACCTCTTACACTTTCGTATCAACGCCCTCTGCCCTGAGGTATGTGTAACTATGCCCCAGATGCCATGCCGTGCCGTGTCATGCCGTGTCATGCATGCCGTGCCGTGCCATGCATGCCATGCCATGCCACCGTCTTGCATTCGCATCAACGCCCTCTGCCCTGGGGTATGCCTCAAACACCGCTAATGCTCCATGCCGTGCCGTGCCATGCCATGCCACACCATGTCATGCCATGCCACTTCATCGCACTTACATCAGCGCCGTCTGGCATGAGGAGGCATGCCTCATGCCATACCATACAATACCATGCCATGCCATGCCACCTCTTCGCATTCACATCACGTCCTCTGCCCTGAGGGGTTCTGAAATTTGCCTCAGCATGGCACATGGGGTCATGCCGTGGTGCTATTTTCTGCTGTTTATCCAGCTGTGACCATCCGTCCGTCATTTGGCGAGATGGTTTGACAGGCAGTAGATGTTCATCCCGTAGTTTATCCTGTGCACTCCAATCTTTTCTCCCCTCCCCTGTTTTCTCCCTTCCTCTCCTCTCTTCTTTCCCTTCCCCTCCCCACTTTCTCCCTTCCCCTCCCGTCCCCCCTCCCGCCCCCCCTCCCGCCCCTCCTTTTCTGTGCAGTTCATCGAAACCCCCCTGGTGACGCAGATCACAGGGCAGGCGGCCAAGCACCTTCCCAAGGTGGTCAGCTCGCTGGGAGGTTTCATCCCCATGCAAACGATTGTTGACGGTGGGTGCTGGTGCTTGCATTGCATGCAGGCAAGAGTTGATGGTGGGAGTTCTTGCTTCTAGTCAGCATCTGCAGGTGGCCTTATCTCCCAAGGTGGTCAGCTCGCTGGGTGGCTTCATCCCCATGCAAACGATTGTTGATGGTGGGTGGGTGCTGGTGCTTGCACGCACTCCTTTGTTGAGGGTGGGGTTGGTTGCCTATGAACAGCATCTATCGGTGGCCGTATCTCCCAAGGTTGCTTGCAGACGGTTGTTGAGGGTGGGGTTGTTTGCTTCAAGCCAGTATCTGTTGGTGGTCTTATCTCCCAACGTGGACAGATCGTTGATGGTGGGTGGTTATGCCTCTGGACATGACAACGAAGAGTCGAGCCTGGTAGGAATGCAATAAGCAGGGAGAGTTTACCTGGTGAGGGTTTATGTGTGGTGCAGACTGGTAATTATGGTGGATCTACATGAAGCACATTCCTGTGGTGCCATTTTCATGCATGCGACAATGTGGTTGCCTGAATTCAATGGATGGCATGGTACCAGCAGGCATTTTCATCAACGCCCTCTGTCTAGGCAAGCTGATAAGAGGATGAGAAGTGGGCGAGAGACTGCTGTTGATCACCAACTAGCTGGGCCCTCCGCTGGGCCTTGCTCTTTCCCCGTCCCGTGCTCCCTTGCAGCCATAGCTGAGCTGATAAGAGGATGAGAAGCAGGTGGGTAGACTGCTGTTGATCACCAACCGACTGGGCAAGAAGTGGTGGTGGCCGACTGAATATTAAATGCCCTCACATCTGTGCATCACCAACCCATTCGCGCCCCTCCCCCCCCCCCACACAGATCTAGCAGGATTCATAGAGGATGAATAGTGAGCAGGAGACTGTGGATCACCAACCAGCTGGGCAAGCAGTGGTCGCCGACTGATGGGAAACACCCTTACACCTGGGCATCACCAACCCATGTGCGCCCCCTTTTTCCCCCCTGGCATAGCAGGATTAGTAGAGGATGAAAAGCGAGAAAGCGACTGTCTGTCTGTGGATCACCAACCGGCCGGGAAAGCAGTGGTGGCTGACTGGAAGGGAAACTCCCTCACACTTGTGCATCACCATCCCATTCCCTCCCCTCCCCGCCCTCCCCCAACAGGCATAGCTGAGCTGATAGAGGATGAGAAGCGGGCAGGAGATGGGACTGCATGTGGATCACCAACCGGCTGGGCAAGCAGTGGTGGCCGACTGAAGGGTGAAGCAAACTCAACACATGCCCCCCCTCCCTTGCCCCTTTTCCCTCACAGGCATAGCTGAGCTGATAGAGGATGAGGAGCGGGCAGGGGACTGCATGTGGATCACCAACCGGCTGGGCAAGCAGTGGTGGCCAACTGAGGAGGAGAAGAGGCGGTACCTGGTGGCAGGCACACCCGGGGGAGGGGACAGCCGAGGGGATGACAACAAGGGGGTTGACAGCAAAAGGGGAGCTAGTAGGAGTGATGCAAGAGTGGGTGGAGCATTGGCGTTGGGTGCCATGCCACGTGGACAGAGGGATTCTGGTTTGGGAGGAGCAGGAGGTGTTGCTTCTGGGAAGCATCATTTGGGTGTGGCGAGTGGTCTGCCTTTGACTTTCCGCAAGATGTGAGTTGTGAGGCGATGGGGTGATGGGGTGATGGGGTTATGGGTTGATGGGGAATGGGGGATGCGTGATGGGGTGATGGGGTGATGGGTGGCGGGGTGATGCATGGGGTGAGGGGTCGTGGGTGGTGGGGTGATGATGGGAGATGGGGTGATGGAGGATGGCTGTTGTGTTAGGAGAAGCAAATGCCTTGTGTTGCTTGTTCTACCTTAAGGGATGCATTACCACGGTTCATTTCATACCAAGTCTTATTACTCCTCGTCTTCTACTTCCCCCGTCCCTCCCCCCAGTGTGGTGCAGCGCCTGGCATCCGACTTCAGGAAGGCCACCAGCATCATTGAGGCGCCACTGCCAGTCAACCAAATCAACCAGGTCTAAGCATTCAGTGCCAGTGCAAGTAAATCACGTCTTGCTTCTCCCCCTTCCCTCCACGCCTCCCCCCAGTGTGGTGCAGCGCCTGTCGTCGGACTTCAGGCAGGCAACCAGCATCATTGAGGCGCCCCTGCCGTTGCCTGTGCCGGCAGGGAAGGTGCTGCTGCGTGTGCGATATGCTGGGGTCAACGCCAGCGATGTGAGTGCTGCTTCCTTTGCTGTGAGTGCTGCTCACTGTGCTTCCTGCCACCCTCCTGCTGCGAGTGCAATATGCAACCATCGCCTGTGCCAGCAGGGAAGGTGCTGCTGTGTGTGATACGGTGGGGTCAACGCCAGCGATGCGAGTAGCGTTCATCTGATTGTTTTTCTGTTATTCTTTTTCCCTCATTATTCCCTCTTTCTGTTATTCTTTTTCCCTTATTATTCCCTCTTCCTGTTATTCTTTTTCCCTTATTATTCCCTCGTTCTGTTATTCTTTTTCCCTTATTATTCCCTCGTTCTGTTATTCTTTTTCCCTTATTATTCCCTCGTTCTGTTATTCTTTTTCCCTTATTATTCCCTCTTTCTTCTCTTCCCTTGTGAAGTGGTCTCTCCTTGTCTTTCGTCAACTCTTTCTGGCATTGCCATTGCCGGTCACTGTCTTCTCACCTGCCCTCGTCTTTTTCTCACTTGTCCTCGTCTTTCTCCTCACCTGCCCTCGTCTTTTTCTCACCTGTCCTCGTCCTTCTCCTCACCTGCCCTCGTCTTTTTCTCACCTGTCCTCGTCTGTCTCCTCACCTGTCCTCGTCTTTCTTCTCTCCAACTCGCAGGTCAATTACACAGCCGGCCGTTATGCAGCAAGCCAAGCAGAAGCATCGCGGCAGCTTCCCTTTGACGCAGGGTTCGAGGCAGTGGGGGAGATAGTCGCCTTGGCAGACAACGTCGCACCTAGAACACATCCCAGCAACAAGGGAGGGCTGGCAATAGGCCAGGCAGCAGCAGCGCTAGCGTATGGGGCATTCGGAGAGTATATGCTGGTGGATGCGCGATGGGTCATCCCCGTGCCTGAGTGCTCCCCTCAAATGGTGGCTCTGTTGACCAGTGGGCTCACTGCTTCCATAGCTCTTACAGAGGTACGTTGGAAACTCCTGGGGTGGATTGGGATCGGTGACTTAACCGTTTTGGAAGCAAGGGCGGGCTGGCTGTGGAGCAGGCAGCAGCAGCGGTGGCGTAGGGGGCGTTCGGAGAGTGCATGCTGGTGGATGCGCGATGATGGGTGAATTTTGAGTCGACTCAAAATACACATGATGGGTGATCCCTGAGTCTGATGCTCGCCTCCACTGGTGGCAGCCTCACTGCCTCGCCCTCCCCCATTCCTCTCTCCCCCCTATCTCCTAGTCCGGTCGTATGATCAGTCAACACCTCTCTACCACACACCCATCTATGTCCCCCTCCCCCCCTGACCCCCCCGTGACAATATGGTCGCATGGGCAGTGGCGAGACTGTGCTGGTGGCGGCAGCAGCAGGTTGCAGGGATACAGTTGATATCCTGCTTGCTGTTGTCCGTACCCCCCCAACCCCCCAAACCCGCCCCCCTGCTTCCCCCCACAGTCTGGTCGCATGGGCAGCGGTGAGACGGTGCTGGTGACAGCAGCAGCAGGGGGGACGGGCCAGTTTGCTGTCCAGGTGAGGGGTGACGTCAGCAGGGCAGGAGGTATGTCCGCGTGTCAGGTGAGAGATGACGTCATACAACAGAGGGGGGTGGGCAGTAGCAGCAGGAGGGACGGGCCAGTTGGCAGTCCAGGTGAGGGATGACGTCAGCATGGCAGGGGATGACGCTAGATGATGAGAGTGTGTGCCAGGTGATGAGGGTGTTTGAAATGTGAGCAATGAGCATGTGCGAGGTGATGAGGATGATGAGAGTGTGTGCCAGGTGATGAGAGTGTGCATGTGCTATGTGCGAGCATGCTGCCTCAGGCGGGGGGCGTGATGAGGGTGTTGGAACTTGGATGTGAGCATGTGCGAGGTGTCAATGCTGCCTCAGGCGAGAGGGATTGCCTTGGTTGAGAGGGATTGCGTGAGCTGAGAGGGATTGCCTCGGTTGATCTGTGCTTCTCTGTTCTGTGCTGTGCTGTGCTGTGTGGTGCGGTACGGCGGTGTGCTGTACTGCTCTGTGCTGTGCTGTGCTGCGCTGTGCGGTGCTGTGCTGTGCGGTGCTGTGCTGTGCGGTGCTGTGCTGTGCGGTGCTGTGCTGTGCGGTGCTGTACTGCGCTGTGCTGTGCTGACACGCCCGATTCTCGTCCTTCCTTACACCGCCAGGCCAAGCTGCCCGGCAACAGGGTTTGTGCAGTTGGCGAAGCTGGCGGAGTGGCAACGATGAGTCGATGGCTATCCACCTTCCCCTTCCTCCGCTCTCTTCTCAATACCTCCTTCCACTCCCCCCCCCCCCCCCCCCCCGGCCCCGCCCCGCCCCCCCCCCACCCCCTCCCGTCCCCCAATATGCCAGCTGGCGAAGCTAGCAGGCAACAGGGTGGTGGTGACACGCGGCAGTGAGAGCAAGGCAGCAGTGATGTTGGTGATACACCTCCTCTTTCCTCTGTCCAATATATCCCCTTCCCTCCCCCCTATCTATACCAGCTGGCGAAGCTAGCAGGCAACAGGGTGGTTGCGACATGCGGCAGTGAGAGCAAGGCAGCAGTGCTGAGGAGGCTGGGGGCGGATGTGGTGGTTAACCACCGGACAGAGAAGGATATGGCTAGGGTGAGTTGACTTTTCAGTCAGCTTGCCTTAAGGTTTGAACGGCAGCAGTGCTGCTGAGGGAGCTGAGGGCGGATGTGGTGGTTAACCACCGGACAGAGAAGGATATGGGCAACGTGCGGTATATCTCTAGTTCTTGAATGTAAATCGTATCAAAGGAAGAGAAGAAATGATGTGCTAGTAGCGGGGCCAGACAGACTTGACACACGCCCATGTCAACTTGCACAACGCATACGTTGTCGTATAACGCACAGCAGCGCACAAGCATCATGCCCATGTCATCAGCATCAGCAGCATCAGCAGCATCAGCATGCATGAATACTCTTCCTTGCATTGCCTTGCATGTCCACTCGAAGGTGCCTCAAAACTTGTCTATGTGTCGATTCGTACCTCATCCTTTTCCTCCCTTCCTCCCATCTTCTCTCCACTTACTCCCTCCTTTAACCCTTCCTTGCCCCCCCAATCTCCTGTCCTCCTCTCCCCTCCCCTCCTGTTACACCAGGCATTGAGACAGGCATCTGGGCCGCAGGGAGCAGCAGTGGTGTTTGAGTCTGTAGGGGGTGATATTCTTGCTTCTGCACCCTACCCCCCCTCTCCTTCCGCCTTATCTGCTGCTACCACTCTCTCCCCTCCCCTCCTGTCACACCAGGCATTGAAGCAGGCATGTGGGCCGCAGGGAGCAGCAGTGGTGTTTGGATTGGTGGGGGACGATATGTTCGCTACAGCGCTATAACCTCCCTCGACTTCCTCCCATATCTGCTGCTCTCTCCCTACCCTCTCCTCCCAATCATCACACCAGGCATTGAGGCAGGCATGTGGGTCGCAGGGAGCAGTGGTGGTGTTCGAGTCGGTGGGGGGTGATATGTTCGATGCTGCACTATAACCCCCTCTCTCCTCTCTTCCCAACCATCACACCAGGCATTGAGGCAGGCATGTGGGTCGCAGGGAGCAGCGGTGGTGTTCGAGTCGGTGGGGGGCGATATGTTTGCTGCAGCTCTGAAGGCGCTTGGCCGATTCGGGCGGTTGATTGTGATCGGCATGATGTCTCAGGTTAGCCCCAACAGGCACAGACAGCAGTGGGGTTGATTCAGTAGGGGTTGACATGTTTGCCAGTGCACTGAAGGTGCTTGGCTGATTCAGGCGGCCAATTGTCATTGGCATGATGTCTCAGTGAGTGCCACAGGGAGCAGCAGTGGTGTTCGAGTCGGTGGGGGATGATATGTTTGCTGCAACCCTGAAGGCGCTTGGCCGATTTGGGAAACTCTTTGTCATCGGCATGATGTCACAGGTGAGCCCCAACAGGCACAGACAGCAGTGGGGTTGATTCAGTAGGGGTTGACATGTTTGCCAGTGCACTGACGGCGCTTGGCCGATTCGGGAGACTCATTGTCATTGGCATGATGTGACAGGTGACGTCATCACTGCTGGCATAATGGCCTTGTGTGGTGTCAGCATACCCCGTACTTCTGTCTTTTCTCATCATCCTCATCATCCTCATCATTCTCAGCATTCTCAGCATTCTCAGCATTCTCAGCATTCTCAGCATTCTCAGCATTCTCAGCATTCTCAGCATTCTCATCATCCTCATCATCCTCAGCATTCGTGTCATCCCCACCATTCTTGTAAATCTCTGGGCTGCTGCCCAACAAAGCTCTCCAGTGTGGTGTTTTTTGTTGCCTAATGGATAGGAATTCAAGTTTGTCAATCAACTCCGTTTCTTTGCTTTCTTACGTGCCCAACTCACTTGCCAACGTGTCCCACAAACTTGCTGACGTGCCCAACTCACTTGCCATCGCGCCCCACACACTTGCCATGCAGTACACGGCCGGGCAGGAAGGCGAGTGGGTCAGCAAGGCCTATCCCGGTCTGTGTGAGCGGCTGCTGTCCAACTCGCAGACGCTGGTAGGTGTAGGGGTTTGTATAGTCGCCTTTCATGTTCGGTTCAAGGGGTAGGTGTGGGTCAGGTGGAGTAAGTGGGTCAGGTGGTCAGGTGGGTCAGGTGGATCAGGTGGTGGGTCAGGTGGGTCAGGTGGGTCAGGTGGGTCAGGTGGGTCAGGTGGGTCAGCAAGGCCTATCCCGGTCTGTGTGAGCGGCTGCTGCCCAAATCTCAGGCGCTGGTAGGCTTTTCGTGCTTCATCTGATCTGAAAGGCACGTGGCAGTCGTTGGTGCATGTTGTTCAGAATGTCTTTGTTGGGCTAATTTCCTCTCAAAAGGCTCTGCAGCCACGACTCTGTTGTAATCTTACCTTTCAAAGGCCCCAGTGTCTTCGGCTCCGACCGCTGTTTAGTTGCCCATGCCCTTCCTGCCACTCGCATATACTTTTCGAGGTCTGGTCTCCTTGGTTCATTACCCCCATCAGTGACGCTCTCACTTTCCGTCTTCCCGTCTTCCTTCTGTCCCTCCCTTCTCACCCCCCCCCCCCCCCCCCGTCATTGTCTCATCTTGTCCCCAGGTCGGGTTCGTCTTGCTGCATTACCCTCACCTGTGGCGCTCTCCTTCCCCCTCCTGTCCGCTTTGTCTCGTTCTCGCTTTCTATCTAACTCTATCCCCATCGCTCTCTTGCCCCCAGGTTGGGTTTTTCCTGCTGCACTACCCGCAGCTGTGGCGCTCTCACTTCACCAAGCTCGTCAACCTGTACCAAGCAGGCGTCTTGAAGGTGAGATAGAAGCTGTACTAGGTGTGACTTGACTTGAAGGTGGAATAGAGGTGATTAACACGGCATGGAGATTGTAGAGTGGGACGGAGGTGTTCACTTCACCAAGCTTGGAACCCGCTACCAACCAGGCCTCTTGGAGGTGGGATTGGGGTTGCTGGAGGTTGTTGAAGTTGTAACTTGAGGATATCAGGGGTGGGATCGAAGGGATTACCGATGATAGGGCTGTTTTACCTCACGCAAGTAAGCTCGTGAACCTGGACCCAGCAGGTGGTGATATGGAGGATGTTAAAGGCATGATTTGCGATTAGAGGTAATGAAGTTGCGATGGAGGTTCTAGGGAGGGCTCACTTCACCAAGCTCGTTAACCTTTCCCGTCTGTTCAGGGGTCTGCCTGTTTTTGAGGCGCCTCAAAAGAACACGCCATGTGACTCCTGTGTGGAACCATAAGTCACCTGGCTGTGGGCTGTGTTGATATTTTCTTCCATTCTTCTCCCCCCATCTCTTCTTCCCTGCCTTCCTCCACCCATCCCAGGTGGCACTGGACCCCTCCCCTTTCAGGGGCCTGCCTGCAGTGACGTCAGCAGTGGAGCACCTGCAGGCTGGGAGCAGCGTGGGCAAGGTGGGTGGGAAGGTGCTTGTCTGCTGTGCAATAGGTGCAATGTTGGTGGAGTCTTGTTCATATGTTCTAACTCCTTTCAGTTGACAGCGGCACCAAAGCTAGCTGTATCACCCCCACCCTCTAAGCTCTCTTCTTTCTCTCTGGTGTTTTCAGGTTGTGGTCGAGATCAGTCCACATGGAAAGATTTTGCAGTCCGCCCGCCTGTGAGATGAGCTAGTGATGTATACCTGAGAAAACATCTGTTGCGATGTTCCATACATGGTACAGCCTTGATGTTGGTCCTATGTCATATTTTGAAGGAAGAAATGAAGCATGGGTTTTCATTTCTCGATCGAAGTGTTCCTTTGAGTTGAATCAAAAGCACGATCGCCAATGATTTTTCCCGGGTATGCTCAGAGCGAAATCTGTCAGTGCGTCAACCAATCACATGCAACCGACCTCCCTGTCCCATGTGCGAACCGTCGACGTCAGCAACCCCTTGCGGAAGCTTCATTCGCGCGTTCGTTTCGCAAGGCTAGAAGCCCAACAACCACGAAGTAGGGAGGAGGATGCAGCGAATCTCACCAGGGCGTCGCGGTAGAGTACGCTATCATAGCAAATCACAGCGGTAGCGGGTTCTGCACTTCGGTAGATTTACGTCACAAAGGAAATCCCGTTCCTTCCGTCTCATTTTACACACCCTCCAGCTTCTATCTCAGGGCCGCACAACAGCACAATCACCTACCAGGGAGCTTTCCTGCTGGGGATTCAGCCACGCTGCGTAGCACAGGTCGAGCCTCGCCAGTCGCGAGCATTTCAGCGGCGACCGGTCAACGCCGGAGAGATAGAAGCAGGACGTTTAGAAGGGTTTCGATTTCGAAGTCTTTGGATCAGTCACTCCTTGAGCCTTACTGATTTTCGTGGCTGGGCTACATTGAGCGTGACTCGCTGCATTCATACGAAGTAGACTCTTTGGGCTGGGAAGAAATTACTTTTCGTTCTCCTCAATAAAATCTCTCACCTCGTAGAATCATGTTTGCACGGATAGCCTCGACAGATTCATGTGGTTACCAGCAACGCCGATTAATCTGCTTTTGAGGCGCCTCAAAAGTTACCAGCAACGCCGATAATCCCAATGCGAATAAACAAGTTCGACAGAGTCAAAAGCAGATTTCCGGAATTCCTGTCATCCTATGGCAGAGCCTGCTTTGACAGCTCTCCAGGAACCAACGTAGCTTCCGTATGACTCCTTTCATTAGCTTGACGCCGTCCGGTTTCCCTTTCCGTACGCTTTCCGCGCTCCTGTCAGATCCGTTACTGTTATAAGAAATTACGAAGACACGATGCGTTTCACAGCCCTTGTCTCCCTGTTTTTCGTTTAAAGAAATCGCCGCATTTTCGACTTCCTCCGTGCAGTTAGTCGGTTCTCGGCTCCCTAGCATTCACGGGAAAAGATGGTCGTTAGCAGCTTTCAATGGTGCGAGTAGAAGTAAAACGCGGCAGCAGCCAATTGTGACCCTAAACCGGAAGCAGCACAGTCGCGTATACGTGCTCCAGGAGTATTTTTGCTGCTTTTAACTATAGAAGCTCGGCGTGTACTTATTAAGACAGCCGCAGTACACTCTCGAGAGGATCTGCAATAGCCTGCTATAGCACTTAAGAATCGCCAGCACAAGCAGTTGGGTACAGAATCGGCAGGTTTCTGAGACTGGAGTAGTTGAAACCAGGGGGTGAACACAGCAGCTGATTACTCTAGGAGGTGGGAGTAGTAAGCAGACACGCAGGCGAGCAGGGAAGCAGGCGAGCAGGGAAGCAGGCGAGCAGGCGAGCAGGCGAGCAGGGAAGCAGGCGAGCAGGGAAGCAGGCGAGCAGGGAAGCAGGCGAGCAGGCGAGCAGGCGAGCAGGCGAGCAGGGAAGCAGGCGAGCAGGGAAGCAGGCGAGCAGGGAAGCAGGCGAGCAGGGAAGCAGGCGAGCAGGGAAGCAGGCGAGCAGGGAAGCAGGCGAGCAGGGAAGCAGGCGAGCAGGGAAGCAGGCGAGCAGGCGAGCAGGGAAGCAGGCGAGCAGGGAAGCAGGCGAGCAGGGAAGCAGGCGAGCAGGGAAGCAGGCGAGCAGGGAAGCAGGCGAGCAGGGAAGCAGGCGAGCAGGGAAGCAGGCGAGCAGGGAAGCAGGCGAGCAGGGAAGCAGGCGAGCAGGCGAGCAGGCGAGCAGGCGAGCAGGCGAGCAGGGAAGCAGGCGAGCAGGGAAGCAGGCGAGCAGGGAAGCAGGCGAGCAGGGAAGCAGGCGAGCAGGGAAGCAGAGATGGTGTTTGGGAAGCGCAAGGACGAGAAAGGGGGTTTTGACATTGAGTTCTCCAACGATGACATCTCCTCAATCTACACCGAGCACTCCAGCTCCGGCAAATTTCTGGACAAGTACAGGTGCGCACACATGGCGGTTTCGGTGTGTGAGGATGCTAGGCACATGTCTCACAAGACTTTGGATTCAGCAGCGATGCCATCTCCTCGATCCACACCGACCACTCCAGCTCGGGCAAATTCCTGGACAAGAACACGTGGGCATGCATCCTCGCATGCGCATCCGCGCATCTGTTAGGTGGCGTGTCAGTGGGGTAGCGTTGCTTGTCCTAACGTGCTGCTTGGATGGTGACGTCACGCTCTTCCCTTCCTCACGCCTGGCTTTTGGCCCTTCAGCCAAACACATCTCGCGTGTCTCCACCCTCTTTCTCCCCTCCCCCCCGACCCCCGGCTGTGCAACCTACCTGGTATGGAGTTGGGGTGATGGGGTCGACCCCATTTTCCTCAAACTTATTTCCTCTCCCCAGTCATCCTCTCTCTCCCTTCCCTCCTCCCCCTCCTCACCGTGCAGTCTTCCTGACATGCAGGCGATGCTGCAGGAGCTGGGGTGCGCCATCCAGGGTGATGGGGAAGCTGATGAAGGGATAGCTCCAGGTCGCTAACCAACTGGGATAAAAGGGCATGTTTGTATGGTGGGTCAGCGCACCCACACCCCCCCAGGACGACACCTGTAGCCCTTCAGGGGGACCCCTCTGGGCCATCTCAGTGCCCCCTTCCAACAGCTGAGAAGCTGGAGGCTGGCCTGAACATTCCTTTCTCGTCTACTTGCATCTCATGTGTGCCTTGCTTTTCTCCCCCACCGTGCAGTCTTCCTGACATGCAGGCGATGCTGCAGGAGCCGGGGGTGATGGCGAAGCTGAGAAGGACGTGGGTGACCCAAGATACATGCTCTAGCACAGATACATGCTCTAGCACAGATACATGCTCTAGCACAGATACATGCTCTAGCACAGATACATGCTCTAGCACAGATACATGCTCTAGCACAGATACATGCTCTAGCACAGATACATGCTCTAGCACAGATACATGCTCTAGCACAGATACATGCTCTAGCACAGATACATGCTCTAGCACAGATACATGCTCTAGCACAGATACATGCTCTAGCACAGATACATGCTCTAGCACAGATACATGCTCTAGCACAGATACATGCTCTAGCACAGATACATGCTCTAGCACAGATACATGCTCCTCCCCACCCCTGTGTCATTTTTTCCTCCCGCAATACATGCAGTCTACCGGACATACAGGCGATGCTGCAGGAGCTGGGGGTGATGTGGCTGACCCAAGCTATTTTCCCCTTCATCCTCCATATCTTCTTGCATGTGCCTCTTCCTTCTCCCCTCCCCCCCCCCCCCCCCCCCCCCCAATGCAGTCTACCGGACATGCAGGCGATGCTGCAGGAGCTGGGGGTGATGGCGAAGCTGAGAAGGAGAGGGCACGATGCGGTGAATATTGAGCTCGACCTCACAGACCCCTTTGTGCACAAGGTAGGCTTTTGCGGGGCTTTGAAAGCTGAGGGGGAGAGGGAAAGCTGAGGGGGGGAGGTCACCATGTGGTGAATTGACTATTGAGCTCGACCTCACAGACCCCTTCGTGCACAAGGTATGCCTCAGCCCCCCTCCCATCGCACAAGGTAGGTTTTTGAGGGGCCTCGCGAGCAGTGACGGCTAATTTTGAGAAGTCTCAGAACGGGCCTCACGAGCAGTGACGGCCAATTTGGGGAGGAGGAGAGGGCACGATGCGGTGACTATTGAGCTGGACCTCACAGACCCCTTCGGGCACAAGATAGGCTTTTGAGGGGCCTCAGATGCAGGGATGACCAAGTAGATGAAAAGAGGCTGCATATAGAGAGCTATGAATATTGAGCTGAAACTGTGACACCTGCGCACGTATTCCATGGTTTTTGAATTGACTCAAAAGTCATCTCATCACTTATTCCATGGATATTGCAATAATGTATTGTGCACATGGCATGGTTGTGCGGCTCCCAATTCCTGCCAGCTGTGGACCACGCCAGCAGCACCAGAGCCCCTCTGCGTTTGGCGCTGTGCATCCTCACATCCACTTCCCTACCCTACCCTACCCTACCCTACCCTACCCTTTTCCTCTTGTGTCCCACTCACGGCCACTCATATCAGATGCTATGGTCCACCCCAGCAGCACCGGAGCCTCTATTCTCACATCCACTTTGGGTGCTGCTACACGTGTGATGATACATTGGGTGGCAAAGCGCAGCCTCTATTCTCGCATCTGCTTTGCCATCCATTTCGACGGATGCTCCACTCACGGCCACCCCTTCTCTCCCCCCCTCGTCAGATGCTGTGGACCACGCCAGCAGCACCAGAGCCTCTGTGCGAGTGTGCTCTGCGCATTCTCTCGTCCACGTCCCTGCTGCACGTGAGTGCACGGCTTATGTTGCATGTGAGCGCGTTTTGTCCTTGGCTGATGCTGCATGTCCGCCTTAATCTGTGCGAGTGCCCCCTGCGCATTCTCACATCCACGTCCCTGCACGTGAGTGCACGTCTCTATAAGAAGTGAGTGCTTCTGATCGAGACATGCAGTCTTATTATGCTGTATGTGATCTTACACAACTCCCCAGACTCCAGGTTCTCTCTACATCTCTGTATGTCATGTGTATTATGGTGTATGTGCATTATGGTGTATGTGTATTATGGTGTATGTGCATTATGGTGTATGTGAATTATGGTGTACGTGCATTATGGTGTGTATGTATATTATGGTGTATGTGCATTATGGTGTATATATTGTAAGAAAATGAGACATTGATGGATTAAAATGAGAGAGGGCATACAAGCTTAAGTACTAACCATAGGAGAGGGTTGGAAGGGATAAGGGGAATCGGAGGGATTCCCAAGGGAATTCTCCCAAATCGTGGGGATTTGGGATGGATTGGGTTGGGATTAGGCTTGAGCAAAACCGGGTAATTACCCGACCCAACCCGGTTTTGCAATACCCGACCTCGGGTCGGGTAATTTCGGGTCGGGTCCAGGTCGGGTAATATGCCCAGGACCCTTACCCGGACCCGGCCTTAGGGGGCGGGTAATACAATACCCGCCTGGCGGGTCCGGGTATACCCGACCCGGTTACCCTGAAAAGCGGGTAATACTACCCGCCACCTACTAGTGGACATCATAAAGTTGGGCTAGGCTAGGTAGGGTTCGTGAAAACGCGACTCTCAAATGAGAGTCGCGTTTTCTGGGGGTCGAATTTTGACCACCCAACTCCCTCCCTTTCACCGCACTGAACTCCTCCCCGTCTACAAACTCCAATTTCCAACCAAACTCCCTCCCTTTCACCACACTGAACTCCTCCCTGTCTACAAACTCCAACATTTCCAACAAAACTCCCTCCCTTTCACCGCACTGAACTCCTCCCCGTCTACAAACTCCAATTTCCAACCAAACTCCCTCCTTTTCACCGCACTGAACTCCTCCCTGTCTACAAACTCCAACATTTCCAACAAAACTCCGTCCCTTTCACCGCACTGAACTCCTACCCATCTACACATTTGTATTGATACCGGGTACCGGTTACCCGACCCGGGCGGGTAGTATGCTCAACCCAACTTGGGAAAGGTTGGGGATAAAAAAAGCTACACCCATCCTAACAAACATTCCTAACCCTAAACAAACAAATGACCAACACACAAATGTGCAACACTGCAGCCTATCTCCAACACACCCCCGAGGCTGCAACGTCTGAAGTCATCGGGACGCCAAGACCCATAGCACGAAGGTTCGGCAGTGGTCACGGCGTCCAAGAGACTTGGTGAACAGGTCTGCGAGGTTGTAGTCAGAAGAAATGTGCTTCACCCACAACTGGCCACGCTGGACCAACTCGCGCATAAAAAAGTGTCGAAGCTCGATATGCTTGGTCCGTTGGTGGAAGACAGGGCCTTTGGTAAGGTGTATAGTGCTCTCGTTGTCACACCATAGCGTCGGGGTCCGCTGAGGATACCCGAGCTCAGCCATGAGGTAGGTAAGCCATCGGGCTTCTTGGGCTGCCATGGTGCCTGCGTACAGCTCTGCTTCGCAGGACGACAAAGAGACGGACGATGAGCGTGTAGATCGCCAGCTGATGACACCACTACCAAGGGTGAAGCAATAGCCCCGGGAGGAGCGTCGGTCAGGTTGGGGACGTGCTATCGAGAGTGAGGACAAAGTCCTTGGTGGCTTGAAGGTAGCGCAGCACACGCTTTGCAGCTAACCAGTGGCGATTGGTGTAACGACCAGCAGCAACGTAACGTGAGAGCACGCTGATGGGATAGGCCAAGTCGGGCCTTGTGCACATCATCGCACACATGAGTGAGCCGACGAGTTCGGGATAAGCCGCATCACAAGGCTCAGGTGATGGAACTGACGGGGCAGTCAGATCGTGCTGCAGGGGAAGCGGCATAGCCACTGACTTGGCTTCGTCCATGTCAAAGCGCTTGAGGACGTTGTTAACGTAGAACTCTTGGGAGAGAGTCATGGTTTGGGCTTCACAATCCCGCGTGATTTCCATCCCAAGGTATTTCTTGAGTTTGCCGAGATCCTTCATCGCGAGCGCGTCCCCTAGGGCTTGCTTGACTGCTGCCAGCTGATCGGAGTCCTTGGAGACGAGGATCATGTCGTCAACATAGACGAGAATGAAGAACGGCTTCTCGTTCTTGCAAATGAAAAGGCTCGGATCGGCGGCAGAAGGATGAAATTCGAGTGACTCGAGGGTGGCCTTCAGCTTCTTATGCCATTCGCGAGGAGCTTGCTTCAGCCCGTAGACGGGTAGATTCAACTTCCAGACTGTGCCGGGTGGAAAGGGTAAGGGGAACCCTTGAGGCCGTTCCATGAAAATATCCTCAGGGAGGTCTCCTTGCAGGAATGCCGCTGAGACATCCATAGAGTGGACCTCGAAGTTGCTTCGAGCAGCGACGTCAAGGAGAGTGCAAAGGGTAGGTAGTTTAGCCGTTGGGGAGAAGGTGTCAAAGAAATCTAGCCCATTTTTCTGCGTGAAGCCTTTGGCACAGTAACGTGCCTTAAAGACCGGAAGTTCACCAGGTAGCTGTTTGACACGAAACACCCATTTGCCGCGGACGATGTTCACTCCTGGAGGAGGAGAGACGTGGGTGAAGGAGTTGTTGCGAATGAATGCTTCACACTCCGCGATCATGGCTGCGAGCCACTGCGGGGAGTGCGGCCCAGAGATGGCTTCATCGTACGTGTTCGGGGTCGGGATGGATGGATTCTCTGAGAAGTTGAGGGTTGGAGCGTCTATAAGATCGGGAAAGAGATAGCAGAGCTGGCGAATGGCAGCATCGATATCAATCAGCTCCTCATGTCTATCCTCCAGCAGGCCATGCACGAGTGCACCCCCGGCAGGAGCAGGCGGATTGAGGGAGATGCGGATGGAGAGAGCGAGAGGCTGGATGGGACCATGAGAACGGGTACGATGAGCTACGGGGGCGGAAAGAGGTGGCGGAGGAGTAGGTGGGACGGAAACATAAGAACGACCTTGGCGACGACGCCGATAGGTGACGGGTGGGGCGGCGGGAGGGGGAGCGGCAGGCGCGGATGCCGGAGAAGGGGGGGAGGAAGGCGTAGGCAATGGTGACAGCGCGGGAGGAGGGGAAGAGGGAGCACCCGAGGTGGCAGGGGAAGGAGGGTGGGAAACAGCGGAAGGAGACGAAGCGGGTGAGGAGGAGAGAGTAGAGGAATCAGGAGTGGTGGCAACGGGGATGGAGAGCGAGGCGCCGAAATCGGCCCAAACGAGCGAAGGTGGAGCGGGGGAGGGAGACGAGTGAAGATAAAATGGGTGAGTCTCGTCAAAAGCGACATCTCGGCTATGGTTGAGTTGATTAGTGGATGGATTGAGAAAAAGCTAGGTAGGAGAATCGAGATTGTGACCAAGGTAGACGCATGTCTGAGTCTTGGGAGCGAACTTGCCGCCATGTGCACAGCGATCTTGAAAATTGAGGAGGACATAAGCAGTACACCCCCAGACGCGGAACGGGCGTGCACTTGGCTTGGAGCCTGTCCAGAGCTTGGCAGGCGTGACCTCGGGGCGATGGGGATGAGGGTGAAGGATGTAGAGGAGGGTGGCGTGAAGGAGAGCGAATCCCCAAAGGGAGGGTGGAGCGGCAGCGTGCGTGAGAAGACAACGGGCAATTTGCACAAGAGTGTGATTGCGGCTTTCCGCGATGACATTCTGCTCCGGGCTGTGCGGAAGAGTGAAGGTTTGGCGAATTCCTTGCGAAGCGCAAAATGTGTGAAGGGTGTGATTGCGGAACTCGCCACTGCCGTCGGAGTGGAGACACTTGACGGAGGTGCGAAAGTGGGTTTGAGCTTGCCGAACCCACGCGATGACGGTATCAGGGACCGCCGCTTTGGAGGAAAGGAGGTGGACGGATGCGTAGCGAGAGTGATCGTCCACGAGTACCAAGAAGTATGAATGCCCGCCACGGGATTGAACAGGCGCCGGCCCCCAGAGATCCATATGGAGGAGATCGAGGGGGGCGGCCGCGGCGGAGGGTGATGGAGGGTGAGGCAATTGACGCAATTTACTTTGTGTACAGTCCAGACAGGGAGGTGCTGGTGAAGGCGATGGTGGGGGAAGAGAGTCGGGAAGATGGAGAAGGAGTTTCTTGGAGGCGAGCTCAGTGAGGGTGCGAAAATTGGGGTGCCCGAGCCGGTGGTGGAAAGGCAAGGTAGGGTCGGAGAGGTGGCGACACGAGCACGTGGAGGTTGTGTGAACTTCAGTGCGAGGTGGAGGCACTTGAAGCGTGTAGAGGTTTTTGGAGGAGAGAGTGAAGCGCGCGAGACGCGTGTTGCAGGTTGGTTCAATGAGATCACAGTGGTTGGAGTGAGCGGGGACGATGGTGGTGACCCTTGCCCGCTGAATTTCATGCTGTGCGAGGAGATTGTGCCTTAGCGTGAGAAGGCATATACCAGTGACAGAGCCGGAAGGGAATGCCGGGCATGGAAGTGTGGATGAGCCAGGGGCGAGGGTGGTGAAGCTCGGGTCGGCACCAAGTAAAGGGATGGGTGCTTGGTATGGTTTGAAGGACTCTTTGTCCTTGAGGACGGTGTGGGTTGCTCCGCTATCAAGAACGAATTCGAGTTTCGAGGAGCGTTCAGGCACCGAGTACTGCGAAGTGGTTTCATTGATCATGGCAACGCTTGGGAAGAACAGGTTGAGACGAACATCAGGACTAGGGTTGTCAACTTGCATCCTGACTAGGGTTGGCCTGGCGCATGCGGAGCCAATTGGGTGGCTTGGAGTTGACGCCATTCTTCGCAAACCACTCGTCGTCTTTCTTTTTGAAGCACGTGGCGAGTGGGTGGTTGGTGCCACCGCAGACCTGCCCTGCGCGAGGGCCCATTTTAATGACGTAGGTGCAAGACGGGTAGCGGTTACAAGCTGGAGGCGCATTGGGACGCGCAGCTGGGGAGGAGCTTGAAGTGCGAAGTTCATTTGCTCGAGCCTGGGCAGTATTGTCTTTCTCGGCGGAAAGAAGTGCAGAGGAGTCTTTAGTGAAGGTGAGCTCTTCCAGCTGGAGATGGAGGAGCATGGAGCGGGTGACCCTGTAGGATGGAGTCAACCCAACGAGGAGAGTTGCGGCAGGGGCTTGTTCTGGGAAAACAATGCCAAGCTGCTTCAACTCCTGGTGAATACCCTGAAACTCCGCCGCATAGTCTACCATGCCAAGGCATTCCTCCAAGCGCACCTGAAACATGCGAGGAATGAGGAGTGCCACCCCCCCCAGCAGTATTGTTGAGGAAGCGGTCATTGAGGTATTCCCACATGGCATGGGCGGACGGGTAGTTATGATGCGTTTTAACTAGCTCGGAAGGAGTGGTGCTGACGAACACGCCAATGATAGCAGCGTCGGCCTGCTCCCACACACTGTAAATTTCCTCGTACTTGGTTGTCAGATCTTCGTGCGCCTTGGACTCTTCTTCAGTGGCATTCGCCGAGGGTTCCTTGGGTGGAGTGGGCATCTTCGCTTTGCCGCGGTTGAGCAGGACATTCTCAAGACAAATGCCTTCGACCTTGCGGCTCAGAAGGTGCTTGTCGATGCCGTAGCTCCATTCCTTGAAATTGGGGCTTGTGCCGTTGGGGTCAAGGCGCAACGGAGTGATTGGGGTACCAAGGGACGCGGAGGGGAAGGCCATGGTGTAAAGGGCCCATTTCTTCTGCGCGGAGCGCAGCTCTTAAGTCGCCGATAGGAACTTCGGCTCTTAAGTCACGAAATAGTGATTAAATCAGCTGCTTCTGTACTGCTACGCCGCTACACCCGCTGCTGCACCCGCTGCTGCTCCCGTTCTGCTTCGCCGCTGAGACCCCCTGCCGTTGCAAGGGCAACGGGCGGCAACCCGTTCAGCTTCGACGCGCAGATGCAGGGCGACGGGCGACGGCCCGAGACAGGTGCAATGAGCAGATGTGGGGCGACGGGCGGCAGCCCGATGTAAGGTGCTGTGCAGATGCGGGGCGACAGGCGGTGGCCCGAAGAGAAGAGCCGCGCAGATGCGGGGCGACAGGCGTCAGCCCGAGGAGAAGCGCCGCGCAGTTGCGGGGCGACGGGCGTCAGCCCGAGGAGAAGCGCTGCGCAGATGCGGGGCGATGGGCGTCAGCCCGAAGAGGAGCCGCGCAGATGCTGGGCGACGGGCGTTAGCCTGAAGAGAAGAGCCATGCAGATGCGGGGCGACGGGCGTCAGCCCGAAGAGAAGAGCCACGCAGATGCGGGGCGACGTGCGTCAGCCCGAGGAGAAGCGCCGCGCTGAATTGAGGCGGCTAGAAAAGCTTTGCGTCGTAAGACACAAATGCTAAGCTCCAACGGAGTGAGGGGATCAAGAGCCGCTTAGGCGGAAACGAGCTCTGATACCATGTAAGAAAACGGGACATTGATTGATTAAAATGAGAGAGGGCATAGAAGCTTAAGTACTAACCATAGGAGAGGGTTGGAAGGGATAAAGGGAATCGGAGGGAATCCCAAGGGAATCCTCCCAAATCGTGGGGATTTGGGATGGATTGGGTTGGGATAGGTTGGGGATAAAAAAAGCTACACCCATCCTAACAAACATTCCTAACCCTAAACAAACAAATGACTAACACACAAATGTGCAACATTGCAGCCTATCTCCAACATGTTTATCATGGTGTATGTATATTATGGTGTATGTTCATTAGGGTGTGTATGTATATTATGCTGCATGTGCATTATGGTGTATGTATATTATGGTGTATGTGCAATATGGTGTATGTATATTATGGTGTATGTGCATTATGGTGTGTATGTGCATTATGGTGTATCTAATACTATGAAAGCGTGAAGGGGTTGTCTGTCCTAAGCGCGCCGAGCCCGGGAAAAGTAGGCGGGAAATAGGCGAACTTTGACATCTAGCTAGGCGAAAACATTTGGGGGCTTCAAACACGCGACGAAATTCAGAGGCGACGAACGAAACAGATACCAGGAATACAAAAATTGCGCGAGATCAGCCCTTTGTTACGCGTGCCAGAAAAAAGAAATAACAGGGAGTTGGCAAAACATCAGCGCTCAACAAAGCACGAACTCCACAGAAATGGAATGAAACAAGGTGATACTCAACAGAACTGGAATGAATTTTTTTTCGGGCATGCGGGTACCGCATGCGAAGCAGCACTAGAGTGTATTATGGTGTATGTGCATTATGGTGTGTATGTGCATTATGGTGTATGTGTATTATGCTGTATGCGTATTATGGTGTAAGTGTTTTCTGGTGCATGTGCATTATGGTGTGTGTGTATGTTCTCTTCATCTTTGTTCTTCTCTCTCAAGCGGTCCTTGTATTAATGGATCCTTAGGTGCAAGCTAGACAAGGGCCGCATGTATAAGGTGAGAACACCTGAGACAACAAACCCCCTTACAACTGTACAGCTGCCTAAAAGAGCTCCATTAGGGGCTCCAACATGGCAAAACAATTCGAGGTGACTTTTGAGTCGACTCAAAAGTCAGTGTAAGGCCACCTAAGAGAGCTCCACTAGAGGCTCCAACATGGCAAAACAATTCCCGAAGAGAGGTGCCCTCCACATGCGCCACATCATGTGCCTTCTTCAGGTGCACATCGACACTTCAGCCTGCCCCCGCTGGAGTGTCACCGTCCATTGAGCACCTCATTTGCCTTCTTTAAGTGCACCTGATCCCTCTGGGGTGTCCCTTCACCGACCAGCGCTGGTGGAACTGACGCATCATCTTCGCTGCCTGGTAGGTTGACGGGTCGGCGTTCAAGGGCATCCTGGCGGCCGTGTCCTTCTCTCAAGTGGTCCTTGTATTGCTGAAACCTAGGTTCGTGGTGTCCTCCTGTCTCTGACGCATCATCTTCTGCGCCCCTTTCCTTGCTCTAAATCTCACTCACCCTAATTCCTTTCCTCCCAGTGCCAACAGGGCAGTGCGGTTGAGTGAGGTGATAGGCGAGGGAGCAGCGGCGCTGAAGACGTGGGGGAGTGGATTGCACTAGTCCATGCCCCCCCCACCCCCCCCCCCCACCCCCCGCCCCCCCACACCCCTCCCCCCTCCGCGCCCCAATGCAAACCAATCCCTCACCTATAGGCAGTGCGACCCAGCGAGGTGATTGGTGAGGGAGCAGCAGTATCGAAGGCATGTTATCCTCACGGCATAGGCGCGGGGGGGGAGGTTGGGGGGGAGGGGTTTGGTGGATTGCACTTATCCTCACCAATCCCCCCCCCACCCTCCCCCCCCGCGCCTATGCCAACCTATCCTTCACTCACAGGCGGTGCGGCCCAGTGAGGTGATCGGCAGGGGAACAGCAGTGCTGAAGGCGTGGGAGGGCGGGTTGGGCGAGTACCAGCCTCTCAAGCTGCTGCTGGTCGACTGGCTTCTGCTGCAGGACCCCCTGGCGCCCTGTGATGGTGAGAGGAGGGGTTGAGACGCTTTGTATGCCTACCTAGCTGACACTCAAGCTGCTGCTGGCGGACTGGTTGCTGCGGCAGGACCCCCTCGCACCCTGCGATGGTGAGAGTAGGATGCTGAACGGAAGGATTCGAATGTGATGAGCTTTGAGCCAAGCCAAGAGTCGCTGCTGGTGGACTGGCTGCTGCTGCAGGACCCCCTCGCGCCTTGCGATGGTGAGATGACTTGAATGTCTACCTACGAGCAGCTCAAGCTGCTGCTGCTGGTGGACTGGCTGCTGCTGCAGGACCCTCTCGCGCTCTGTGATAGTGAGAGATATTTGGAGTGACGAGGTGAAACACGTGTAGGGTAGATCAAGAGTACTCCCTTCATTTTGAGACGCCCCAAAACGACATTACTGACACTCGGGTGAGGTGACATATGTCAGGCAGATCAGGAGCACTCCCTTCTTTTCATCTCCACTCTACAAACCTCCCCTCCTGTGCTTCCCCCAGCGACCCTCCCAGCGACCCTCCCAGCGGCCAGGACATGCCAGGTATCCCTTGAGAGTAGATTCTCTCCCTTCTGTACTCTAAGCACCTCCCTTTCTGTTTTCCCAGAGACCCCCCCCACATGCTATTTTTGAGGCGCCTCGAAAAGAGACTCCCCCCACACGCTATTTTTGAGGCGCCTCAAAAAGAGACTCCCCCCACACGCTCCCCGTTGTTTCTCTTCTCTCCTTCACCTCTTTCCTCTCCCACTCTTTTTCCCTCTCCTACTTTTCCCTCTCCTGTTTTTCCCTCTCCTGTTTTTCCCTGTCCTGTTTTTCCCCCCCAGAGACCCTATTGCCCGGCCAGCATATGCCTGGGTTGGGAGTGGCCATCGAATTCGGCAAATTGCTATACCGCATGGTAAGTGCCACTTAACAGTGCAAAACCCTGGATTATATATTGGGCTAAGTACTATACTGTATGGCACGTTGTACTGCTTGGTGTAATCTACACCGAATAAATTTACTCACCCCTTCTAGCAGTTGGTTGTTCTTTTAATAATAGTTCTAATAACCACTTTACAGCACTGGTTATGTCTAGTGTGCCGGCTATTAGCATCCAGATGTATCTCGTCCATTTTAAGGCCGTGCATGTCACCATGGCAATCCGCGGTCCCATTTATTACCTATCTACTAACCTTGTCACATGCCACACATTGCACGTGCCACGCGGAACACCTGCCCCATGTGCCGAACATACCAACCACACGTGCCACACATGCGGCACGCCAGGCACAGGAGGGGGAGTTTGATGCGGTGGTGAATCGACCGCTGCACTTCCACAACGCAGTCATGTACGCCCCCACAGGCAACCTCTTCCTCAACCCCCAGGTCAGTCGAATAGCCCCAGGTGAGTCTCAACCCCCACGTGAGTCCCAACCCCTACGTGAGTCTCAACCCCCACGTGAGTCCCAACCCCCACGTGAGTCCCTAGCTCATCACGTAGCCGTAAAGTATGAGTCGCCTACGGCGCCACTTCCACAATGCAGTCATGTACACGCCCACTGGCAGCCGCTTCCTCAACCCCCAGGTGAGCTCTCAACCCCCAGGTGGGCTCTCAACCCGCAGGTGAGCCCTCAACCCCCAGGTGAGCTCTCAACCCCCAGGTGAGCTTTCAACCCCCAGGTGAGTCTCAACCCCCAGGTGAGCTCTCAACCCCCAGGTGAGCTCTCAAGCCCCAGGTGAGCTCTCAAGCCCCAGGTGGGCTCTCAAGCACCAGGTGAGCTCTCAACCCCCAGGTGAGCTCTCAAGCCCCAGGTGAGCTCTCAACCCCCAGGTGAGCTCTCAACCCCCAGGTCAGCTCTTTTGGCCCTAGGTGCGTCGATATCCGTTGGGACAGTCCTTGAGCCCTTGAACCCTCTGGTGAATGGTGTGAATCGACGAGGCAGGTCAATCCATTCCACATGCCCCAATCTGACCAGGTGGAGGCTCGGTTTCGGGTGCTCGTGCGAGATATGGAGCGAGATGTGCTGGCAAAGTCCCTTGCTGACGTGTCACACACCATCCAGTGTGCTGTGAGTGTGTGCACGCCCCTTCCCCCTTTCCTCTTACCTGCCCTCCCCTCTGCATTTTTCTACTCCAACTCTCCTCCCTCCTCTATCCTCCCTTGCCCCTTCTTCCTCTCTTCGCCCCCTCACTCCTCCACCTCCTGTTCCTTCGCAATTCTTCCTTCGCAATTCTTCCTTCCAATTTCAGCTTCCATTCTCTCAGCTCACTGCTGGCTCTGCCGGCACTACCCGTGTTGTCACTTGTCACTTGCCTTGCTGCGATTCGGGCGACTGTAAGAATCCTCAGAATTCTTCCTCAGAATTCATCCTCAGAATTCTTCCTCAGAATTCGAAGCTTCCATGCTCTCTGCTCAGTGCTGCTGGCACCGTTTTTGCTGTCACTGGGCTTGCTGCCCCGTGCTGTCAATCCAGGGTCTGAGGCTCGCTGTTCCAGCCACAACCGGTCCAACCAGCAGCCCCGCCAGCAGCACACCAGATACCACCTCCCCCAGCTCCACCCCGGATAAAGCCTCCCCAGGCACTGCCCCAGATGCCACCTCCCCCAGCAGCCCCTCATTGAGAATCATCACCTGGACAGCCGAGGAGCAGGCCAACCCTGTGTCAGAGAGGTGAGGGGTAGCACCTTCTTTATCCAGTGTTGAAGGGATTTCTTAAAAAACTACACCACATATCATATCACTACTAATGTGAAGATGTTTCTTTTCATGATAAAGGTAATTCTGCACCACCACTTTCAGCATGCCACGTTCAAGGGACTTGTAAATGGGCTGTATTCCATGGTGACTTTCAAGTATCCATGGGCTAAAATATCTCCATGGGCTAAAATATCTTCATGGGCTGAGGAACAGGGAGGCTTACATATTCCTTGTGGCGGTGGTCGTCGTCCCCCATATCTCAATGACAGGATGAAGGCTTACCTGGCATCGGGCGCCTACCTTTGAGTCGACTCAAAAGCAGCCCCTTGTGTTGGTGGTCGTTTTGCATATCTCCGTTACAGGATGGAGGCTTACTTAGCATCGGAGGCCTGCCTATGGGTCGACTCTTGAGTCGATTAAAAAATCACCGATGAAAGCCTATTTAGCAACAGAGGCCTACTTTTGAGTCGACTCAACAGCAGTCCTTGTGTTGGTGGTCATCCCCCATATCTCCATCACAGGATGAAGGCCTACCTGGCATCGGAGGCCTACCTCTCATTGGTGCAGCGGGACTCGCATGGGATCACAGCCAATGAGCATCTGACACGTGTGCGCTCCATGCTGCAGAATGGCCGGCGCATCTCCCTCAGCAGCAGCGGCAGGGAGATAGCAAATGGGGGCAGTGGGGACAGTGGGTGGGGGGTTGGGAATGGGAACAATGGCAGGGATGTTTGGAACGAGAATGGGAGCGTGGTCAGCTCTGATCGTGGCAGGGAGCTGGGGAGCGGCAGAGATGTGAATGGGAACAGTGGGAGGGGGAGTCGCAGTAACAGCGGCAGGGAAGCAAATGGTAGCAGCGAGAGGGAGGGCGGTGGTAGTGATAGGGAGAGCAACGTTAGAAGTTGTGGAAATGCTGGGGGGCTGCACACAGATGGAGACGTTACAGATGGTGACGGTGGTAACCAGGTCAAGGTATGGTGCCCGACCTTTGGGTTAGACTCTTTGGATGGAGTGGAGAGCCAGGAGGCAGTTAAGAAGCGCATCGACGGAGGTGTGCCTGTGTGGGAGGTGGTTATTTAAAGCTGGCTGTTTGCTGGAGAGAAGAAACTGCTTGGGGCGATTGGGTTTGGGATGGTAGCCAGGTCGAGGCACGGAGGCCTATCTTTGGGTTGGTTGGAGATCTAGGAGGCAGTTGAGGCAGATTGAGGGAGAAGTGCCAGTGTGGGAGGTGGATATTTGAACGAATATACAGGCTTAGTACGAATATACGGTGGAGATCGTACCGTTACAGGCTTCTGCGGGGCTTGGTGATTTTGTGAAATTGATCTTTCTGTAATAATTTGACAGGTGTTGCAGGAAACTATGTGTAGGGTCTGCAAACACATTCACTTGGAAAACCTCAAGTGTTAGCCTAGGATCTTTGCTGGAATGGTAGACTAGTAAGACAGCGGAATTCTTGTAAAAGTGAATCTGAGTATAACTCTTGTGAAAGTCAAGGTTGAACAACCTCAGCTCATGAACTTGTGGGGTAATCAAAGTTAATAATGTAAAGGCATAACAAGGATCTATAGCTCTAAGAAAGTACCTATTCGCTAATGTACATGTTCGTCACTATCACGCTATGCGCCCTAAATGACAATGAAGAGGTGCGACTGTTCGCGTGACTGAAACGACTGTCCTCATGACGAGCGCTATTTGCTGACGTCATCCTGCGGACTTATCTTCTACAGTAGGATTCGACACTATCTATCTATAACCGACTTACAGAAATGCTAAGTATGAATTATATCACAACACTCCCCTTCATTTCTGGAAGTTCGATAGTGTCACTTCTTGAAGATCCCGCAAAGCTTGTTACAGTACTGAAACTTCTGTCGTGTCAGCTTCTTCGTAAGGAAGTCGGCAGCCATTTCGTTGGTCGAACAATAGACCAATCGCATTCTCCCCTTCTCGACTTCATCCTTGACGAAAAAATAACGAGTGAAATATGTTTCGTCCTGTTGACGAAGCCAGGCTGGTGCGCGATGCGAATTGCACGTTGGTTGTCGCACTGCAGGGTAAACTGAGTACTAGTCGTCAACTTCGCTTCTTCCAATAGTTCCTGCAGATAAAGTCCTTCGCGTGTTGCTGTGCAGGCAGCGATAAATTCAGCTTCAGCAGAGGAGAAAGCAATATGAGAAATTTTTTGTAATGAAAAATTTACAGATTGTGATTCGACTAGAAGAGGAGTTTGCTGTAAAGGAGACAACCTCCTTCATCTATCGGCAGGTCTTTCAGACCTGCCACCTAGTCTCATTTGCATTTTTCTGTTCCAACTTTGCATACCACCAGCACACTCTAAACCTCTCTTATGCCCAGATCTGGGCATAGGAGTCTCTTGCTGCAAGACGTTTTTTCTGTTAGATTCTCTACAATGGTCAGCGGACTTATTTCCGCTGCAAGTGGTAGGCCTCCCGCTCCTCGCGTGAATACTAGGAGTGGTGGAAGGCGTGGGTCCCCTGCACGTGAGGGGGACCGAAACTCTTCCTCTCAGCATAGAGAACGCTCTCGTTCTCCTCGTCCTGGCGGAGGTAACGGCGCCGTTACCGCTTTGGATTTGCTGAGTGGCGCGCGTCAAGACCCTGTTCAGCACGTCGAAAACGTGGCGGGGGACGCGGATCGTAACACGTTACGCAATCGCGACTTCCCCCCCGGATTTCAAGGCGAGCGGCGTAACGAGCAGAACCGTGTCGACACGAACCCGCCTGCCGAAAATGCCCCGTCACGCCCCCCACCTACCGAACGCAATCATGACGGTCCTGCGCGCGAGGACCACAATCATGATCGTGATCCTGCGCGCGCAGGGCGTCATCATGAGCGCGATCTCAACGCCCCAGCGCCCCAGATTCGCCAGGATCGTCAGAATCGGGACCGGGATCGCGCAGATCGCCGGACGGATTTTCCCCCTGCTGCAGCGAATCCGCGCGAAAATCCGCAGATCTCGACCCCTGGAGCAGTAGATATCGCCGAAATGATTGCGCGCCTGGATCCTGCAGCCCAGCGCAATCTTCAGCGAATCTTCACAGAAGCTGCTGCTGGCGAACGCGTTACAGCACGCTCCACTGCATCCACAGCGCCTCGTTCTGCAGAAAATAATTTTGCTCGCTACACCGACAATAATGTTTACGCCGGCACCAACAATGAGGCCATTCACCACGTTCTTGGTCTTCTTGCGGCGCTCCATCGTAGCAATGGCGCCGATCCAGCACCGCCTCCGGAACCAGCACGCGTCGCAGTGGCGGCAGCCCCACGCTCTCACCTCCCGGCGCCCGCCCCCGAGCCCGTGGACGACGAAATGGACGAGGAAGCACCCCATGCCACGCTCGACGAAGGTAATGCTGCCCGCCCAAAATCCACTTCTGCAGCGCTCGCCCTTGCTCCTATTCCACCTGCACGTCCTCAGTTGCGCTCTTCCTTAGTTAAAAGCGATGGCATTCGTACGCAACTTTTTAGTTTTGAGCGCATTCAAGCTATTGCACGTCATGCTATTTCGGTTTTACCACCTGATGGTGGTGAACAAGCCGCCGACTATCTCCAGCAGATAGTAGAGGAGGCGGAAGAAAAGATTCATTTTTTGTTTACCGCCGATCAACGCGGTTTTGAAGTGGCCAATATGGCCCTTAAGATTAAATACGGGGAAGTGGTAGAGGATAAGAATGTCAAGGCTGCTTCTCAGATTGTAGCGGCTAGCAAGAAGAGGCCCACTCGGCCCACCCATTCCACATCCCGTCCTGAACCCCCTCTTCGCCCTCGAGGCCAAGGGGAGCGCCTTTGGAACACATGGCGTAGGGACGGCGACGGCCGTTGTTTCTATTGTCGTGAACCCGGGCATGGGATGGCTAATTGCCCCCAAAGAGGCCAAGGGGCCAATCGGCCGGCTAAGATTGTGTAAAGATTGCTTAACCTCTCCGATGTTGTAGCGTTCTTAATATAAAAGAAAGAAAGAAAAAAAGACAACAACAACAACAACATACACACAGATTATTGGACTCAAGTAAGATTAATATGCGCGTCATACGACCACATGGTCTCGCCCGTTGGGCCTGAACGTGCCCACAAGACGCTTACACAATGTGTGTGTGTCCTCTAAAGACTGCCGTTGATAAGACTCATGACAAGATTCTATGTCATCACCATATATGACCACCAACTACAGCCCAGTATGCCAAGTTGACATGCCCAATCCAATGGTTTATTACTTAAGGGATGACGTGGCCGAAGAAAATAGCGAGCGAGTGGGCACCTATAATTAGCGTTTGCCTTCCTTCCCGACAAAAAAAAAAAAAAATAAACTCCCTTGTTGAGGTCGGAACTAAATGAGGTGAAGCACCTTCCTGACTCTCTACCGTCCCTATTTGTGTTCCCTCTCCCACCAGAGCTCGGAACCATTTCGGCCTATGCCGATGATGCAACCAAGATTACCCGCATGCAAGGCCGCCTCCGTGACCGCGCTGCATGGTGGTCCGCCTGGTGCGACAGCCGCTTGATTCTATCGGTGATTACATATGGATATCGCCTACCATGGGTTGCCTCTGAGCCCCCCCCGTCTCGTACTAAGAATCATGCCGGTGCCTTGCAATTCACATCTTTCGCTGTAGGTGCAGTGGCCGAGCTTCTCGCCACCGGCGCAGCTCGGGTCGTACCTCCTTCCGCAACCCTTACATGCGTTAGCCCATTAAACGTGATTGTCCAACCCTCTAAAAAGAGGCTGATATTGGACTTGCGGCATGTCAACTCATTCCTCTCGGTGCCTCGTTTTCGATACGAAGGACTTACTCGCGTTCCTGATTTGGTGCAAGAAGGCGATTGGCTATTCACCATCGATCTCAAATCTGGGTACCACCACGTCGACATCCACCCCGCCTTTTGGCGGTTTCTCGGATTCTCCCTGCAAGGGCAGGACTACCAATTCCTCTCCTTGCCTTTCGGGCTGGCTACAGCGCCATTTGTGTTTACCCAATTAATTAAGCAACTCTCCAAACGCTGGCGTAGCCGTGGCATCCGCCTTATTCCATACGTCGATGATATCCTATTCATTAGTGCCACTCGAACGGAGGCACTTCACAACCGCTCCATAATCATCGCCGACCTTGCAGCCGCGGGCTTCGTAGTGAATTTAAAAAAATCACAACTCGCGCCGGCACAATCGTTGAAGTTCTTGGGCCTCTTGCTGGACACGCGCACCACCACATTCTCTGTCGATGCGGATCGGCGCGATCGGCTGTTTGCCGAGCTGGATGAATTAGGCACACTCGGCGCTAACGGGCGTCGCATCCCTGTTCGCCGCGTTGCCCGCATCACCGGCATGTTGGCCTCCATGTCCTTGGCACTTGGCACCGTCGCGCGCGCCTTCTCCCACCACCTTCTCGCTCAGATCGCCGAATGCCACTCATGGGGGGCGGCCATTCTCCTAACCCCTGAGTCTGTTGAAGAGCTGCGTTTTTGGCTCACACAGTTCGACATTTTCAACGGCGCCCGCTTCCACAACCTGCATTTGTACGACGTTGTCATGTACGTGGATGCTAGCGACCATGCCTGGGGGGCTTGTTATTCCGCGCCGGATGGTCGTGTCGGCTCGCTCTCCTCCCCGCTGCCTCTAGCCTTCTTGGGCTCGTCCAGTACCCTTCGCGAGTTGGCCGGAATCTTTTGGTCCCTTTCGGCCTTTTCTGTCGAAATCCGGCGTTCGCACATCTTGCTCCGCAGCGATAGTCAGGCGGCCTACTACATCCTCCAGAAGGGAGGCTCTCGCCGTCCCGAGCTTACCTTCGTATGCCGCGCGATTATTCAATTGTGCGTGCGCCATATGATCCGTCTCACGGTCCAATGGATTCCCCGTGCGCTGAATACTGAGGCCGATGCTCTGTCCAAGATTGAGCTCCACGACGACTACTCCTTGACACGTCCTTGGTTTCTGCTGCTGGAGAGGCATTGGAGGCCTCATACCATCGACTTGTTTGCATCCCCTGCCAATGCGCAGCTCGCTCGTTTCTGCTCCCTCGAGTTCTCACACTCGGCGGTTGCGCAAGATGCCTTTTCTATTAACTGGGGACACGAGAATTGCTTCGCCTTTCCTCCACCCGCCCTCATCCCGGCTGTCCTAACTCATGCCCGTCGCTCGCGCACTTCTCTCACTCTCGTGATCGCATATTGGCCTAGTGCTTTTTGGTGGCCTTTGCTAAGCCTGGACGGCTTCACTTGGGGCCCGGAGGTCGTTATGGCCCTTCGCCTTACCCTGGGTGCTAGTTGTTTACGTGTTGGTAGTGACCGTTATGCCTTTAGCGGTGCCGGTCTTCCGAACTCTCCAATGTATGCGCTTCGTTTTGCATTCAACTAATGTAGCATTTTATTTCACTGCGCAGGCTCATATATTGGTCGATTATTGTCGGACCTTCTCACACTCACCGTCGATCTTCGGGCAAAGTCTACCCTTCGCACTTATGAA